AGTTCACTCCAAACGATTCTTGATCCACAGGAAATGAACCAAGTTTGATTCAGGCCACGAGGATCTTCAAAACTGTCAAATTAAAAAGTTTGAGTTGCTCATTGTTAAACCGACATAAAGAAGCAATAGGTAGCTCTGTTCTCATCATCTACTAGACTTACAGTATGCAATGAGCCTGAAATCCAAATTGCAGACAGAATCAACAATTTTTTTACGAAAATTTTGTCCCAAAGAGCTTATGAAGAATGAGAGTGCAGGTTTCTTAGGAGCCAGRCGTCAACATTGTCAGCGTTTTACCTCTAAAATATATGCGTGTCATAGTTTCATACCCATTCCTCTTCGGGTTTATCGATACTTTCCCTTGCGTTTCAACATGGCGTCTCCGATCGCCTTTCGTCTTGGATTGAAAAACGCCGGTAGATTAGCAAGTTTTCTTTCTGTAACACCAAAGGTATGTCTAAAACATGTAGTAGTTATGACTTTTCAGTTTTTCAAAGTGTTTCATGGATAAAGGTCGACTTCTTTTCGCGGAAAGATCACAAAAAGTTGCTCTGTACGTTTTTGCAGGGTAGAACCGGCATATTGGCCTGTAAACGGTATGGATCAACAGCTCTCTCGTATGAACAGGTAAGGGACGATACAGTCGATAAAGAGCATTTTCTACGAGCTTATTGTGCTAAATATGTTCTTTATACATATTTGGCACTGTTTTTAAATTACATAACTTCTGTAAATATTGTTGGCATGACTCTCGTAGGGTGATGAAATTTGTATTCAGTTAGTACATGGATATGTTTAAGGTCAAAATGAAATTGAGATTAAAATGAAATTCCTCTGTCTCTTAACCCTAGTTATTCATGGATCATGAATAATTGGGGTTAGAAGACAAAGGAAATTGCGAATCAAACTAGGTTAAAATCATTTTAACCTTAATTTCATTTTGACCTACAAAATATACACTATATTTTACTGCAGTATTGAAATCCAGTGCAAGCTATCACTCATCCCTCCCCATCATACATTGGCTCCTGCACTCATGTTTTTGTTCTCTCATAACTCTTTTTTCACATTAACTAATCAAAGAAACATTAATTTGAGAACGGTACCCGCTCATCTAGTCCCCAAGTCAAGTATAGCCCCTAACCCTTTAGGAGGGTCGTGCAGGGGTATTCGCGTGATGTATGATTAACTGATTTTATTTTATGTTAAAGGTGAATTTAGGAAATTATTATTCCTGATCCATGACCTGAAGGTTTTGCACCACCCGTGAAGAACTTGAATTATTCCCCAATATTCATGATTTCACCACTCAATTCTACATGATTTTGAGACGCGGGTCCTCCAAATGGTTAGAGTTGTCTATCGAGAGTGACTTAGATGTGCAATTTGCAATATCGAGCCTTGACTTGGCCTTTCATGATTTTTCTTTCTTCAAACACTCTTTCTAGTATAAGAACAGGTTATTAAAATGAGTATCTTCCTTGCTTATTTTTGTGATTCATGAAAACAAAATTTTTTTATCCGTGATCTGTGATCCTCAATTTTTTTCTGTTCATGAACCGTGCCATAGACCTCTTGTACCACCCTTGTTTAGCCCCCAACCAGAAGTCAAAAACACTGTCTATTTCTTGTTCTTAAGGTGTGAATGTGAACTAATCGACTTCTGGTTGTCAGCTAACCAGCTATGGGTTCATTGACGTGGGGGCTAAATGACTGGTGACCATGAAAACACAGAGGGCGATAGGAGTGTGACCAGACTAATGGGGGATAGAGAGAGGGCAGATGTACCACAATATGCAGAGTTTTGAAAACTGCTAGAGTTTCTAAATGTTAAGACTCTGAACTAAAGATATCTGACAATAGATTTTATTAATCAGATTTCATTGATGTCAGTGTTGAGTAGACAATGTTTAGTAAACCTTTACTTGTTTGAATTTTTGCCAACCCTCAATGAAATCCTAACCAGTCTCAAAACACATAAGAAAACACTNGTTATTCATGGATCATGAATAATTGGGGTTAGAAGACAAAGGAAATTGCGAATCAAACTAGGTTAAAATCATTTTAACCTTAATTTCATTTTGACCTACAAAATATACACTATATTTTACTGCAGTATTGAAATCCAGTGCAAGCTATCACTCATCCCTCCCCATCATACATTGGCTCCTGCACTCATGTTTTTGTTCTCTCATAACTCTTTTTTCACATTAACTAATCAAAGAAACATTAATTTGAGAACGGTACCCGCTCATCTAGTCCCCAAGTCAAGTATAGCCCCTAACCCTTTAGGAGGGTCGTGCAGGGTATTCGCGTGATGTATGATTAACTGATTTTATTTTATGTGAAAGGTGAATTTAGGAAATTATTGTTCCTGATCCGTGACATGAAGGTTTTGCATGACCCGTGAAGAGCTTGAATTATTCCCCGATATTCATGATTTCACCACTCAATTCTACGTGATTTTGAGACGCGGGTCCTCCAAATGGTTAGAGTCATCTATCGAGAGTGACTTAGACATGCAATTTGCCATATGGAGCCTTGACTTGGCCTTTCATGATTTTTCTTTCTTCAAACACTCTTTCTAGTATAAGAGCAGGTTATTAAAATGAGTATCTTCCTTGCTTATTTTTGTGATTCGAGAAAACAAAATTTTTTTATCCGTGATCTGTGATCCTCAATTTTTTCTGTTCATGAACCGTGCCTAGACCTCCTGTACCACCCTTGTTTAGCCCCCAACCAGAAGTCAAAAACACTGTCTATTTCTTGTTCTTTAGGTGTGAATGTGAACTAATCAACTTCTGGTAGGGGGCTAACCAGCTAGGGGTTCATTGACTTGGGGGGCTAAATGACTGGTGACCATAGAGGGTGGTAGGAGTGTGATCTGAGACCAATGGGGGATGGAGAGAGGACAGACATGCCACAATATGCAGAGTTTTGAAAATTGATTAAAGCTAGAGCTTCTAAATATTAAGACTCTCAACTAAAGATATCTGACAATAGAATTTATTAATCAGATTTCACTGATGTCAGTGTTGAGTAGGCAATGTTTAATAAACTTTTACTTGTTTGAATTTTTGCCAACCCTCAATGAAATCCTAACCAGTCTCAAAACACATAAGAAAACACTCCTTAGATAATTAGCAATGAGAATTTCAACTTCCTTTCTGTTGTTATAGTCATTATACAATGTGCCAGAGACTAAAGTTACCACCCTTTCAAATGGTTTGAAAGTTGCTACAGAAGATTCAGGACTTTCCACAGCTACGGTATGTACACACAATACTTGACTTAAGTGAGATTTTTTGTATCGTGCATTTTCTATTTTCTATTCTGACTGACTGAGAGCACGCAGCTAAAATCTTGCTGGTATTAAATTGGATGTTATGGGTGCTTACCATTTGTCAGAATAGTCCGGTTGGGATGACCGTCGACTAATAGTAAGGATTTTTCCGAAATCAGCAATCCAACTGAATAAGATGGTATTTACCATTTACATATTGATTTCCAGTAATTGTTTCCACCTGGCAAGAGACTAGAAAACTGAAAAATGTAAAAGGCAAATAGTAAGAAAATCTGTTCCATTCTGAATGGAAAAAGAGACTACCTCTGGGGGTAGTCTATAATTTCCGAACGGATTTTCCAGACAATAACTTTTCCACTTGACTTTCAACCCAAATTTCCAAATTTTTTGGTTAAAATAATGGTAAGCTGCATATATCATTCTACAGATAGAGGGATAAAAAGAAGTGGGGTTGATGTTATTTCTAAAGGCAATACTCAATACACATAGAACTTAATCATAACATCATGCATTGGTCTGCTTTAGAAGAAGTAATAGCAAAGAGGTCTCTAATTAAATGACAGAAAGAGCTTCAAAATGCTGCAAAGTTGAGTCTGAAATTGGGATTTAGGGTTTTCTAATGGGTGATGAAACAATTTTTGGACACACTTTTCACATCATAGTAAGATTGTTAATGATTGAGCTTGCGTTATTTGCTTCAGCCTTTGCCAGGCCTGCCTCCTGTCGGTTGAGATGTTAAGCTCATTTTCAATAATGTGCAGTTCCAGAAAATATCCACACTTTTCCAACAGAAGTGATTGGAATTTCTGGNGTATTTACCATTTACATATTGATTTCCAGTAATTGTTTCCACCTGGCAAGAGACTAGAAAACTGAAAAATGTAAAAGGCAAATAGTAAGAAAATCTGTTCCATTCTGAATGGAAAAAGAGGACTACCTCTGGAGGTAGTCTATAATTTCCAAACGGATTTTCCAGACAATTACTTTTCCATTTGACTTTCAACCCAAATTTCCAAAAAATTTAAAGAAATGTATGAAGCTCAACTAGAATTTCCAGAGGGATGGGGAGGTGTTAGAAAAAATCCCTTGCGTGGGGGAGGTGTGGATATTTTCTGGAACTACACAATGCTTCGATCCGTAAATAAACATGAAATATTTAGCTGTATAGTCATACCCTACACCAGTCTAATGATTTTATGACAGTCACTGTAACTGTAATTGGCTGAGACACTTCTTAATTAGCAAACCATATGTGTGCATAGTTGTCTATACATTGTGTCTGCTTTGTTCTTTATTTGTCTTTTAGGTGGGTCTTTGGATTGATGCAGGTAGCAGATTTGAAACAGAAAAGAATAATGGAGTTGCACATTTTCTTGAACATATGGCATTCAAGGTTTGTTTTATTCCCCTCTTTTCTTTGTCTCCTCTGTCGGTCATCTGTCTGTCTGTTGATTGATCAGTCAGTCAGTCTGTAGCTGCATGGGCATGCATACATCTTGGATACCCACGTTCAGAATCTTAGCCTAAAGTCTGGAAAGAAATACATGTAAATGATTTTACTCTAAACACAGGGTACAAAGAATCGCTCACAGATGGATCTGGAGCTGGAGGTGGAGAACATGGGAGCGCATCTGAATGCTTACACTTCCCGAGAACAGACTGTGTATTATGCTAAGGTGTTCAGTCAAGACATTCCTAAAGGTAAGGTTATTTTTAAAGGTGATGTATATATACACTGCAGGAAAATGTTGATCTGTTACTGTGTTGGACTTTGGTTTGAGTGTTCTTGGTTTATAGTATATGTGTATGGAAGCTGTGATAAAATGTGCTTGTGTTGGCCAGTTTGGGATGAGTGCTTCATAATATGTTGTAAATGGAAGGGGAAATTATTAGATTTTGGTCACCCTTGTGAGGAAATTCTTTGAACACACCTTCCTGATGACTACTAGGAGTCCCTTGGTGCCAGTCAGCTTCAGCAGCTGATGATCAGGGTCTAGAAACACGTTCTGATGAGTGAATCCACCAGCTTTATTTATGCTTGGCAGTGTTATAGCACAAGTGCTTGTGGGTGGAGCAAAACAACTGAAACAAATAATTCAAATTGAACATAACACTGTGAAGAATCCCAACTGGCCGGAGGCAAACCAGTTGGCTATTTACAAGGATGGCCAAGGATTTGAGCTCGGGGCCAGCGAGAAAGAAATCCAGGTAGTGGTCGGAGCGGGACTTGAACCCGGAACTGCTGGATAGCGAGTTCAACATGCTGACCACTTGGCCACACCGCCTCCCTATGTGCTTGCTATCCCCTAATGCAAAAACTCCAGTCCTGTCTAATTGTGTAAAAATGCCTCCCTTACCCGTACTTATGCTGGGATGTTCTCATGTCAAATTGACTTCTCTTATCATATTAATGGCATTTACTAGCATTTGCAACGTGATAAGTTTCACCCTAGTTAATCAATCTCTTATGAATCTTTACAGCTGTAGACATTCTAGCAGACATCATTCAGAATTCAACTCTTGGTGAGGCAGAAATTGAAAGAGAAAGAGGTGTCATCCTGCGTGAAATGCAGGAAGTTGACACACAGCTAGAGGAAGTGGTGTTTGATCATCTTCACGCCACAGCCTACCAGGGCACTGCCCTCGGAAGGACCATTCTTGGCCCCACTCATAATGTCAAGTAAGCAAAAACAGTCTGACAAACTGGTCATTACAAGGTTGAAATACATAACTGTTTTAAGTTTGGTCTTACTTAGTACTTATTACTGCTAATAGCTTTTTGGCCTTCCATCCCCTTTTTTCAATCCCCCCTCCCAACCCATCCTTCAACCTCTCAATGATCCTTCCCAATTTCAGGCACAAAGCTTTCCTTCTATAATACAATCTTCCAATATGTCAGCGAATAGCGAATGAAGGAGATTTATGTCATGGTTTTTTGTATGGTTCGGAGGCGCGGTGGCGTAATGGTTAGCACACTCATCTCCAGATCAAGTGGTCAGGGTTCGAGCCCTGACAGGGGACAATGTGTTGTGTTCTTGGAGAAGACACTTACTCTCTCAGTGCCTCTCTCCACCCAGGTACCGGTAAATTTAATGCTTTGGGTAACCCTGCGATTGACTAGCTTCCCTTCCAGGGGGGAGTAGAAATACTCCCAGTCGCTCCATGCTTCAGAAACTGGGATAAGCTTGGGCCTGATGGAATATCCCACTAGTCACTTGTATTTTCTTGGTATACACATGAATCTTTATTTTTGCACCATGTCATAGAAAATACAGTGGTCAACACAATTGATGTGACATGCACACGGCGCACTATGGGAAGGTTGGGTGTAACACCATTGAATGTACAGCAGCTTTACTGTATTCTGATTGGCTGTGTTTTTTTATGGCATGGTATAAATATAAATACATATTAAAATTGACACATAGTTTTGACCTGCCCCGTTTATTTTGTAGGACCATAACTCGGGATGATCTTGTAGAATACATTAGTAAACATTACAGTGCTCCAAGAATGGTTCTTGCGGCTGCTGGAGGTAACTTCTCCTAACATGTACCTTTATTTACCATGGTTCCTTTGGAACTATTGGGTAATATTATTGTCAGCAAAACCAGTGAGTGAGTGAGTGTAGCAGTATAGATATTTTCATTAACACAAAGTGGTTTCTACTTTAACTGAAAAAATCAGTTCAGCAAAACAAATCACCAGTGGTATGTACCACTTTGCTGAGTTTATTTTTCAGAGAAACAAAACGCTTATCATGGGTTCTTGTTCGACAATCTGCGAAAGATTCTACCAAGAAAAACAAACAGTTTTTTCATAACTGTTATACTTGTAGATGGTTTTAATGAGGCACAAATTGGCCAAGCAAACAACAAAAGAAACAGTATTAGTGTTGAGCAAAATTGGTGTGTTTTCAGTCATGTTTATTTTAAAACAAAAATTGCTAACCCTATCCATAAGGACCCTTTCCATTTACTGTCACTTTAATTGTAAACATTCTCCTTAGCAGAATTTTGTTATACAGCAGAATTGCTTTTGATTAGCACCTTACTTCTCTTTATCTTCTTCCTTGATTTTGTTATAAAGAGTTACGTAAATGTTAGGGATTCATTGCATTGTCTTTGCTGTGTTGGCACAGGTGTTGACCATGATGCACTAGTAGAACTTGCAGAAAAACACTTCAATGGTTTGAGATCAACGTATGAATCACAGGATGTGTTACAGCCATGCAGATATACTGGCAGTGAGGTGAGTGAATTCTATTGTACCTGAGGCATGTCAAAGAAAAAGTATGTTAACATTGTCTATAACTCGCTTGTATTACTAAAAAATTATTGACTTCACACAGTTATTATGACCATCAAAATACACTGTTCCTTTCGTAATGTAAACATACATTTTCTTTGTTACCCATTGTCACCTGCGAAAGTACAAATTATGAATTCATGAAACAAGTACAAATATCTCCATGCTCTTGGGGTCTTATATAAGCAGCAGGCTCACGTGTTTTGTGTTCCAGTTGTGTGACAAAATGCTAAACTCATTCTGGTCCTCCAGTTGGACTGAAAATTTGTGAACTTAGACATTTTATGAAACTAACTGTGAATCTCATTTCCTGACAGAGACAAACTATTCTAAGCATTACTTAGGAGAAAATACAAGTCTTTTAGGCATATGTTATACATGGAGTTACTGAGTTAAACAAAATTCAATGTTCCTGAAAAAAAGTGTTTGAAATCACTGGAAGCAGAAATGCATAACGTCACCTCATAACATGTATGTATTTTTAGTTTCTGATGTAAAATTAGTAGATAATGAAGATTTGTTTGTCAACAGATCCGTTTCCGTGACGATGACATGCCATTGGCTCATGTTGCCATTGCTGTCGAGGGCTGTGGCTGGACTCATCCTGATTACTTTGGGTTGATGGTCGCTAATATGGTAAGATGAGAAATAATGTGTTATTCTAGTTCTTGCATTACAGGCACCGTGCAGTCATGACTTCTTAAACCCTTGAATTTTTGGCATGTCCTGATTATTCGAAGATGCCTTTTGCTTCCTTGTCAAAAATTGAGGAGAAATTTACACTCAATTTTTGAACTCCCAATATTTTTGGCCGTATTGTTGTTTTCACTTGTGGGTTTGAACAAAACCCAATTCCACTATAGATTGTACTTTCTTGGTTAGGTACTTAGCTCTTCTTGAAGTACAGGGCTTCGAGGGTTAGTCTGTTCCAATCTACTGAGATGTAGAGAAGTCAATTGCCATACCTTTACTGGAGGGTAGCAAGGGGTGGGTAGCCTGCATCTCAGACATTACCTACTGAGGGTTATTTATGGGTAAATTTCCACCTGTGACCAAGACTAGGGGTGGGGGAAAGGTGTTATTCAGTTTCTTGCACCAATTTTAGCAAAACACATGTGTATAATATACTTTAACATGTTACAGTATCTACTTTTATCAATGGTCCTCCCATAAATTTACAAAACATGTGTGTCTTTTAGTTGCTTTGCACATGTCACACACTAGTTTTTGCCCTCATCATATGTCACACACAAACCCTGTGCCACCCTGATGCTCTCGCTTACAAGAAACTCGGGTTTCTGTAGCATGAAGTGGCTACGAGTGTTGCTACTTCCCCAGGATGGGATGCTAGTCTATTGCAGATAACCACTGGCACTTTGTCAGGTTGCTTTTACAGCTCACAAATTATTTTGTAATCTCGGATAAAAAGAGTAACAGTGAAAGTGGAGTGTCCCACCCTAGAACACAATAACACAGGTGGGAATAAAACCCAGGACTCTTGATCTCTGGCCCAGTACACTAGCCATTTAGGCCACCATGCCCTCCACTCATAGAGCACAAGCTATCAAGCGTCAGCAACAGGGCTTTAACTCTCCTACATATAGATGTATTAAGCTCACCTTTGACATATTCTGTTTGAACTTTTATGCAGCTGATTGGCAGCTGGGACAGATCTTTCAGTGCTGGAAGAAACATCAGTAGCAAGCTTGCACAGGTATAATGACATTACCGTGACTGGTTAACCTTGCAAATCATTTGTATAAAGTACCTTAGTTTGCTGCAATTAGGTGAAGCTTGTTATGCAATAAACTAAAGGCAGGGCTGTGTTCTAGAAGTGCCTGGGTGCCACAGGCAACCACCTTTTACCACTGGGCGACTGGTTGCACATGTTCATCTCATACCTTAATAATCAGTATAAACACAATCATGGCCTTCGGGATTTAATTGATTTTTTCCATTACAGTTACACCAATCTTACTTCAGGATTTTCACCCAACAATTTCATCATTTCAAGCCAACAAACTGCTAAGATCTTACTCGTTTTTCTCTCTATTTTGTAGGATATGGTTCAATATAACTTGGCCCATAGCTTCATGTCTTTTAATACCTGTTATACAGATACTGGACTCTGGTAAGCTTGTTGTTTAGGTTGTCAAACCAATTCCCCTAAATTTACCGGAATTTTTAGGTTTGAATGGGGTTCAGCTTACATTTGTAATTAAGGTCTTTCTAGAAACAGGAAAAAGATCCACTAGAGTCTTTCGCAAAAAGATAAGCTTGTACAATACATGTAATACTTTAGTTACTTGATCTGAAGTTAAGTATGTGAACCAATGGGATCCTCACATCTCGCTTTCTGTAAAACGCTTTTTCCTCTTTTCCACTTAAGGGGTCTCTACTTTGTAGCTGACAAGATGAAGATTGAAGATACAACATACTGTCTTCAGAAGGAATGGTAAGTCGGACTGATCAGCAGCCGTTTTTTCCCACACTTTTCTGCAAACAGTAGGAAACTAACTAGAACATGTGACCAACTCTGTTCCCCGTTGCATGTTTTGAGACTATTCGCCATTTTAGAAACGAGACGAAATCTGGTGTAAGTATCATGTTGCAGTCAGTTGTGGGACCGTAAATAGGGACAGACCAAACGAGGGGAAGCCATTACCGTCCATGGTGACCATAGCAACGATCCCCACGTGTCTGCGAGACAAGGCTCGCCCAAGATTGCCTCTCGTTTCTAAAGTGGGAAATGAAAAGACCATGCACTCTTCTGCCTTGATTACAGTGTAGTGAAGAACTAACCTCGGAGGAGGAGGGGCAGTCTATATGTAAGCGTTATGGACGTGTGCTGCTGTGCAGGGTATGATTTTCAGGCAGTTTAGTCTGGGATAGGGTACAGAAATCGGACAGTTTTGATCTAGAATAGGGTGTATTTTACCGGTCGGGAAAAGTGGCCAGTGTATAAATAATTTAGTCTAGAACAGGGTTCTTTACCCGGGGTAGTGTAATAGAAATCGAATCTCGGAGGTGATTTTGTAAGATATTGGTTTATGTACCCTATGCTGAACTACGATAATCTGGGATAGGGTAGGGATAATCTAGAATAGAATTGCAAAATCAAGCTGATCATAATCTAGTATAGGATAAACGTTTCAGAGTCCCAGCTGCACACTCCTAGCCAAAGATTTATAGAGTACCCTTAGGAACTAACACACTACTGCCATCAGCTCGTGGCGATTTAATTTTCTGTTAGAAGTCATAAGTGATCAATTGGATAAGTAAGGATCCTTCATGTCACTGGTTTTTAGTTGTGTAATGATGTAAGGCAGTTGTTGGAAGATGTTTTTTTTTTCTGTTTGTGTAGGATGCGTATCTGCACCAGTATTACAGACCACGAGGTGGCTCGTGCTAAGAATCTGCTGAAAACCAACATACTCATGCAGCTAGATGGTATGACTCTTGTGTTATTAGCCACTAGGGAGAGGCAGAAGATTAGATACTTTAGGGAATGCTGGGGCGGATCCAGGCTTTCAAAGACGGGGCTTCAAAATACGTACCGCCAAAGGCGATCCGCTGTAGGGGGCTCCGGGGGCATCCTCCGGCGGAAAATTTTGAAATTGAGGTCCTCGTATATGGGTTTTCAAGAATTCTGAGGCCAAGTCAGCGTGTCATTATGTCTCATCTTTTTTTTAATTTGGGGGGTTCGACTGAACCCCCTAGATCCGCCCCAGGGAATGAGAGAAAGGGGGAAGATAGTACGCTTGGGGAAAGATATATGGATTGTTGATTACAGTGTAAGAATCTAGAAGGAAAGGAAGGGTACTGTAGACACGAAACGTGGACTATTTTCGCGTAAAATCATATCCAGTGCTTCAGTATTAAAATAGAGATAGATGATTAGGGACGGACCGTTTATGTTTTGAGCGGGGGGGCGGGGGGG